AACCAACCAAAAAAAAAAACCAACCGAGTTCATTTGGACCCGTAGCAGTCATCCTGGGCCCACATGCAAAACCTCCTCTCCACACGCTAGGTTAAATCTAGGGGAGACGGCCCCAAAGAGCATTTTCATCCTATGGATTATCAAACCCTTGACTAATGTCAACTTAAGGCATATATCAAGTGGCCGGCTATCACTTGAACTAATCCTTTGGGGTTAGTCTATCCTATTTTATTTCTAAGAATATTATGATTTTACTAAATAACAGTGCCACGACCACGAGTGTTATTTCAATCATATTAAGTACCCTTTCCCCGACCAAGTTTAACTGACAATGTCAGTCAATTCATAAATCAAGTAATGAGACCCGTCAATGATGCCTGCTACCCATCCAATTAGAAAATAATGAAAAACATTATTCCAAACAATAGATGGTTGAATAACTAAGTAGTAGTTTTGTTAAATATATTTCAAAGTTCCAAACAACATTACACTTGATAATATAATAAGAAATTCACTATCACAAACTAGTGCAAAAACATGAAGTTAATGGATTAAGGTACACTGATTTGTAGCAACAGAAAATGATCCTGCTCAGTTATGCCTACAAGTATCATTGAAAATGCAATTCACACTAAACTGAGACTACTCCATGTTAAATGAAGGGAAATTAAATATTAGCTGGAACTAAATGAAAGACTATGAGAAAACCATATCACATACCTTCAGTTGTCTCCCAAGCAATGCCTCCGACAAAAAGTTTTCTACCACAACAACAAAAATCAACAGTCACTGTAATATTCAGAGTCCTCCTCATACATATTTTTCTCGGAGGGGTATGCATATCGAAACAATGACCACAACCTCTCTCCCCAAAATTTAGAGACAGAATGAAATCTGAACACTATTAAGCATAGAATTCTAAAGGAAACCTAGAACCTATACAAACTAACCCAGCAGAAGAATCATCGATTGATTGCTTTATCTCATGGCCTGAACTACCATCTACGTTATGCATCGCATCCATTCCACCTTCGCCTGAATAAAGCTGTTGTACAGTTTGTTCCTCAAATTCTTCTTGTTCATTTTCGCCATTACCGACGAAAACTTGTTCTGCTACATAATCATCCATCGTAATTTTATCGCTATTTGCCGTCACTCTCTACCTATGGACCTGCAAACGAACATGTATTATTTCAACTAGCCCTAGCTTAGGCTTAGGTCTGATTTTTTTTTTTTTTTTTTTTGGGTTCTTTAAACCCTAGAAAGAAGGAAACCCTAACAAAACCTGATATGAAATGACCCTAGCTAGGGTTTTTAGACCAAAGAAGGAGGAGTAGCGGAGGCGAGATGGGATGGATTTTCAAGAGCAGAGAAACCTAGTTTGATCGGTTGGTCGTGTGATTGGAGATGAAATTCGCCGCTGTCTCTGAGCCCTCCCAATTCTCTGTGTTCAATTGGGATTCCCAAATCACATAGGTTGGCCGATTAAGGGACTTTTGTAGCATCAGCACTGACAGATAAAAAGACGACGTCGTTTATGCGAATAAATGACTTAGGCTAGTTTCAAAAAAATTCATTTCATTGGTTGATATTTTAATGAGTTTTTTAATATATATTTTTGAGTAATGCTAGATGGACTTAAAAATTAGACTTGATAATTTCAACTATTGAATAGGTAGTGAGTCCTAATAAATGCTGGGATCCACAGTGAAATCAATGGTTGAGATTATCAAGTCTAATTTTTAAGTTTATGTACCATTGATCTATATTTTTAGGTCTAATAGTATGTGATTAGGGTGTTTCGGTACTAAATACATTTTTTTTAATATATAAGTTGAGTTATTATGATTAAAAAATTTAAATTTAAATAAATTACTATAGTTAATGAGTTATTATTATTAAAATGTTTAAATAAAATATTGTAGCTAAAATATAAATCATAATATACACCGTCGAATATAAATGATATGCGTTGTTATTATATTTTATGCAAGCACAACTATATGTAAATTTTTCTAAAATAAGAATATTTTACTTAATTTAATAACAATTATAAACATTTATAACTAATGAGGTATATGAACTTCAAAGGTTAGCCTAATGATAATTCAGTCACCGATAAAACCTCACCTGAGGAGTAGGGAGGAGTTCAAATATCCCACGAACCATAGTCTCTTGGGACAAAAAGGACTTTATACAAGGTCCGGTGATCTATTGGGACAATTGAAATATAATTTAAAAAAAAAAACTAATGTGACAATTCAGATTGATTCAACTGAATAATACAGCCAAGTATGCATTACCTTCAGAGTTCAGTGCACCCAGGAGAAAATAACTAGTAAAACCTCTGATAAACATATCAGAGGTGTCTACCAATTCAACAGAATATCAGGACCAGACAGGCTTTTGTGCCAACACACAAATAACTCGCGGAGATGACAGGTGAAAGATCCTAAGACCACTCCATCGCTCCAAGATGAAGAAACAAAGATTACTCCGTCAAGGCAAGGTCCTTAGACATAATAATACACTGATTTTCAATCAAAAAGTTCCTAGTAACAACAGATAATCAACTGTCCAGCATTCAGCCTTCCCTACAAATGAGGTGATCAGAAATCAAGCATTCATCCTTCCATACTAGCTAGTAAGATGATTATTTAGCAGGGATTCATCCCAAACATTGTAAATGTTACTGTCATACCAATCAAAAAAGAAAAGGATAACTTTCTTGCCATGAATGGATTCCACGACTCTTCAGTCAGGAAAACAATCTCTCCCCAAAAAGAACGATTTGAACTCCTTTTCTAAAAAAAACATGCAAAGGGAAAAAAGGGCGACTCATTTTATGACTCATAACACCATCAACTAAACTTAACTTCATTTTGTAAAGCAATTGGAAGCGTAATATGACACTCTAGACCATTATGAAATGTACAATCCATACGAGATCCCTATGCCATGCACATAACACAATATGTATTTGTGTCTAATCATGGAGTAGAATAATATATATCAAGCAACAAAGGATATTTCACTTCAAAAATGTTGCAAAAAAGACTAACTCATGCAGGATATATTTCAAAAGATCAAACCTAAAGGTACTATACAATAATACAAACCAGTTATTACTAGGAAGTACAAATACAAAAGTAATCGAGAGCATCATATGACTTTTGCATTTCTGTCAATCATCTTCATCATCCTCCTCATCAAAATCATCCTCTTCTTCATCTTCATCAATTTTATCTTCCAGTTCCACATCATCGTCAGTAACAACGAAGCCTCCTAGGGTATCGTCGTCTTCTTCAATGTATTCTTCATCTCCGGGATATTTAGTTTTTCTTGTGTTCTTAATGGCCTTGTTGCCGTCCTTTGATCTAGTAGAATATTTCGGTCTCTGAACCTTTCTTGTTTTCGTACTTACCTCCTCCTCGTCCTCACTCTCACCTGCCCATTCATCATCATAATCATCATCATTTCCTTCACCTCTCTTCCTCTTTCTCCTCCCAACCTTCTTCCCCCTTTTCTCTTGAACCTCATCATCATTGCTTTCTTCTCCAGGTTCCTCAAGAAACCACTCCCAGTTCTTGATCTCACGGATCAATTTCTTAGGATAGCAATCAAACTCATGCCCCATCACCACAAAACCAAACTCTGTACTTCCCAAAATTGCAACAAAATCAACACTCATTCAACTGAAAAATGAATTACACATTACTAATATCTAAACCAGACCATCTGACTTGAATAGTTATAGAGCTTACATTAGAATTACATGTCTACACCAAGTATTAAAACTTAAATGATGCAATCAAAATTCACACACTGAGATGTATATTAGACTCTCAAACAAGAAAAATAAACCAAAAACNATTAGACTCTCAAACAAGGAAAATAAACCAAAACCAAATCCAAAGCAAAGCTGTAAAGAAACAAACCTTTCACAGGGTCAATATCTGAAACATTAACAGACTCAAGCTCTAATTCTTCAACCCCTATCAATCCAGAACTACTCTGTAAGCTCTCTGCGAATTCATTCTCGAGTCGTGAATCACTCTTGAATTCATTCTTATCATCTTCTTCACCATCAAAATCAATCCTTTTCAAAGTGAACCAAACAGGGTTCTTTGCAGAAACACAGAACATGTCACCACTCTCAATTTCTCCTCTTTCAAGTCTCCTAAGAACCCTAATTTGACCAGTTCTCTGGCTGCATACCCATATGGGGTTCTTCCCAATAACTTTGAAACAGACCTTAGTTTCATCTTTGTGTTCAGATGGGTGTGGTTGGAAAGAAACGTGGCGACGAGAAACCGTTCGATCGTCGATTTTGAGGCCTAGGCCTCTTCCAAAATCCGTCTTCAACCTCTCTTGCAGCGGGATTTTGGAACCATCTTTTCCTTCGATTTCCATTTGATTTTGCATTGTCGGTTGCGAAAGAAACCGACGGGAGCACAGTGGAAAAAATGTACTATTGCGTTAAACTACGAGTAAAGAGTAAATCATGGTTACACCTAATCACCCTCCAATAAATAAATAAATTCGAAAAGTAAATCCTAGGACAAATTTTAACCACACACCTAGGCCACACCAAAAATCCCAAATTCTAATGGGCCGCCCATGGCCCGGAAGTTTAACGGGCTAATGGGTTGCTCAGCCCGTACAGTCACAGGACTTGAGAAGCCCGTTAGCCCGGCGGGTAAGGCCTGGGCTGTGTTTTTTAGGGTCAGGGATCCGGCGGGCTGGTCTGTTAAGAGGCCCGTAAGTCTGCACCGTTAGCCCAATAGAATATACCCGTTAGAGATAATTTAGATTATATTTCACAATTGTATTGTTTATTTGATATATAATCTGTAACTTTTGTAAATGATTGACAATTGTGTAAGTGTCAATCTAGTTGAGATGTACTCAATTTGTAATGATACAAAATAGTATCACCCATCAATCAATTTATAATATAATATTGTAACTCTAAATTAATATTTGTTAAATTCAATCAATATAAATAATTTTTTGTTAATTTATTTTTTTATAAAATTTTCTTGTAATTTATGTCTTTCTATACTTTTTATATAAAAATTATTTTTTTGATATTTTTACGTATTTTTCTACATAAAAAGTAATTTTTTAATAAAAAACTCGTTTTANATTAATATTTGTTAAATTCAATCAATATAAATAATTTTTTGTTAATTTATTTTTTTTATAAAATTTTCATGTAATTTATGTCTTTCTATACTTTTTATATAAAAAATATTTTTTTGATATTTTTACGTATTTTTCTACATAAAAAGTAATTTTTTAATAAAAAACTCGTTTTAGGCCCAATGGACAAGTCATAAGGCCCAGCTCGTATTTAGTCCATTTTTGGCCTAATAGGCCAGTCCACGGGCGGGCCATGGGCCTTAAAATTCTAACGCGTGTGCTTGGCCTAACCCATAAGCAGGTTACGGGCTTAAAATTTTCGGCCCGGCCCATTGCCGAAACCTAACCACACCTTTCTAGTTTATCATATCTTCAAGAGCACCTCTCCTATTATAAAAAAAATCATTGACATCTCTTTTAATTTATATTTAAACATTACTGACACCCCCTGCCATAAAACCACCATTTATAATAAAAAAAATTTATCTAAAATACCAAAATTGCCTTAGATAAACCCCANATTTTTGGCCTAATAGGCCAGTCCACGGGCGGGCCATGGGCCTTAAAATTCTAACGGGTGTGCTTGGCCTAACCCATAAGCAGGTTACGGGCTTAAAATTTTCGGCCCCGCCCATTTCTGAAACATAACCACACCTTTCTAGTTTATCATATCTTCAAGAGCACCCCTCCTATTATAAAAAAAATCATTGACATCTCTTATAATTTATATTTAAACATCACTGACACCCCCTGCCATGAAACCACCATTTCTAATAAAAAAAATTTATCTAAAATACCAAAATTGCCTTAGATAAACCCCAAAACAATTGTTCTGCATAAAATTTGATTAAAATTCGACTTAATTGAAATGTATTTTTCTACATATTAAAATTTGAGTTAATTAACATTATTTTTTATACATATTAAAACCTTAGTTGATTAAAATTTATATTTTTTATGTATCAAAATGCGAGTCGATTAAAATTTAATTTGAGTCTTGAATAAAATTTTAATCGGTTCAAATTTTAATACATAAAAAATAAAATTTAATTAATTCGAATCGAATCGAATTTTAATCTGCTCAAATTTTTATAAGTAAACAAAATTAGAAAATATAAAGGGGTCTCATTAAAGGTATGTCTATCTATAAGGGGTATGGATTAAATTTTTTCTAAAATATATTATGGACAATTTAGTAAAATTGTATTCTAATTAACACTTTTAATCTAATAGGGGAAGTCAGCGAAGATTCAAAAAATATATGAGATGTCCTTTAAAATATGATAAAATAGGAGTGTGACTGAAGTTTGTCCTAAAAANTTAGAAAATATAAAGGGGTCTCATTAAAGGTATGTCTATCTATAAGGGGTATGGATGAAATTTTTTCTAAAATATATTATGAGCAATTTAGTAAAATTGTATTCTAATTAACACTTTTAATCTAATAGGGGATGTCAGCGAAGATTCAAAAAATATATGAGATGTCCTTTAAAATATGATAAAATAGGAGTGTGACTGAAGTTTGTCCTAAAAAATTTCTAGTTATTAATTTTTATTAACGACTATAAAATTTAATGATATGTAGTTAGTGTTACATATTTTTTCATACTAGATCATGCACACATGTTTTGCACGTAAATCGTTTTAAATTATAGTTTTGTTTTAAATTTATTTTTGTAATTGTTTGAAATAATCATGTAAATACATTAGCCTATAAATACTTATGAACAAAACATTGTAATCAACTTTCTACAATTCGTACGNTTAGTGTTACATATTTTTTCATACTAGATCATGCACACATGTTTTGCACGTAAATCGTTTTAAATTATAGTTTTGTTTCAAATTTATTTTTGTAATTGTTTGAAATAATAATGTAAATACATTAGCCTATAAATACTTATGAACAAAACATTGTAATCAACTTTCTACAATTCGTACGATTTATACTAAAATATTTTTCAGAAATAATATTAGTTTTTATTTATTTTTCTATTAACTCTTCCAGCTTTGAGTTATTATTTCTCTTATAATGCTATCTCCTATGATATATAAATTTTGACATGAAAATAAAAATTTAGATGAATTATATTGACAATATCATTGTAATAACACAAATACATATTATGATATGCATATATATATATATAAAACAACCNTATGATATATAAATTTTGACATGAAAATAAAAATTTAGATGAATTATATTGACAATATCATTGTAATAACACAAATACATATTATGATATGCATATATATATATATATATATATATATATACGAATAAAAACACGAATACTTATTGAATTGTAAAAAAAAACACATAAAGAAAAGGGCTTTAAATTATGGTGGTCATACAATCATACACAATTAAAAGAAAGTTAGGTTGTAGAAATTAAATAAGTAAATAAGTTACTTGTGGTAAACNTAAATTATGGTGGTCATACAATCATACACAATTAAAAGAAAGTTAGGTTGTAGAAATTAAATAAGTAAATAAGTTACTTGGGGTAAACAAATTAATTTAATCATTAACATTCATAGTATTAGTCATCACCCAACAAAAATAAAAAAGCAAAAAACAACTCCACTCTACTGTTACTAATAAAATGATGCATTGATACTAAAATTGTAAAATCAAAAAAGTTGAAAAGTTGAGATTTGATATTATTATTGAGGATACATTAAAATAAATTCTATAATAAATAAGGTTCAACCTGTATTTATTCATAGATTGATTTTCAACTAATAAAAATAAGTCTAACTCCTTTTAACATATAAAAGTTGTCTTTTAGAAGGAAGATGGCAAGCTTGGTTAGTATTAATANTCAACCTGTATTTATTCATAGATTGATTTTCAACTAATAAAAATAAGTCTAACTCCTTTTAACAGATAAAAGTTGTCTTTTAGAAGGAAGATGACAAGCTTGGTTAGTATTAACATGAATTTCTAATTAATAAGGTTAGTATTGAATTTATGCTTTATTTTAAGAGTAAAGTAGTTCAACATAATTTAATGTTAATCAAGTTTTATTAAAATGAGCTTTGCATTAAATATGGTTAATATTGTGATTATATTTTCTTGTAGGAATAAAATAGTCAATTAATTTTTTTTTTGATAGTGGACTTTTATTAGTAGTATATATATATATATATAGATATAAATTTATTATTATTTTTTTAATGTTAAAACTTTTCACGATCTCTCAAATTTGGAGTATAATTCAACTGGTCTATAATTTTTAAGCATTTTTGTACACGTGTGTAAAATAATCATAGAGGTAATGCAAGTTGAAAATCTATCCAGTAATGTATAGTAATCAAATTAAGGAAAAAATTATCAAATCAAGTGATTGACCATNCATAATTTAATGTTAATCAAGTTTTATTAAAATGAGCTTTGCATTAAATATGGTTAATATTGTGATTATATTTTCTTGTAGGAATAAAATAGTCAATTAATTTTTTTTTTTGATAGTGGACTTTTATTAGTAGTATATATATATATATATATATATAGATATAAATTTATTATTATTTTTTTGCTGTGAAAAAAGAGTTACTAATAACTTTTTTATGCATCACATAACATATTTATTTTTAATTAATTAATAATATCACATTTACATGACACGATGTTATCTTTACCTTTAAATATTTTTTGGTCAAACTACACTTACCTGCTNAGGAATAAAATAGTCAATTAATTTTTTTTTTGATAGTGGACTTTTATTAGTAGTATATATATATATATATAGATATAAATTTATTATTATTTTTTTAATGTTAAAACTTTTCACGATCTCTCAAATTTGGAGTATAATTCAACTGGTCTATAATTTTTAAGCATTTTTGTACACGTGTGTAAAATAATCATAGAGGTAATGCAAGTTGAAAATTTATCCAGTAATGTATAGTAATCAAATTAAGGAAAAAATTATCAAATCAAGTGATTGACGTAATTTTTTGAATTGTTTTGAATAATATTAAAATTGGCTAGAGGGGATAGATTTTAATGCATCGAATTGTTTGTAGTAATGTAGCCGGTTGATAAACTTATAATGAATAAAATTTTTCAATCAGTAGCAAATTTAGTAGATTTTTATTTTTTAAAATTTAAAAAAAAATTAAATCAACTAAATCTAATTATGTATATAAATCCTAATCATTCAAAGATAACCGTATTAAACCACCTACCCCAAATTTATTGTGACAGCACCATCAAGCTAACCATCATTTTAATGCAGTGAGAGGGACTCACAATCCTTTGAAACTCACAATTTTTAAATAAAAACATGGACCATCAAGCTATGGGGAAAACACAACAGGGTGGAATTGGATACAGCTTGTGGCAGATTTTCTTAATTTGTATAATGATAAATCTTTATCTTCCATAATTAAATTAGATCTCTTATAAATATGCCATGAATGATCTACTATTAAACAAAGTAAACCCCAACTTTTAATAATTACTGCTAAAAACAAATTATAAGATTCGAATCCTAATATCCATTCTTTAATAGTTTTGTCGGTAAAAATGTGTCACATATCAAATAAAAATTACCTAATTTTTCCGATCATATGGTCATTTTCAAAATAATAAGAGTGATGAGAGTCGGATTTTTTTTTTGGTATGCTTTTTTTTTCCTTCTTAAAATAATATTAATACTAGATTATCATTATATATTAATAAAGCGTTCATTTATATATTGACTCTCNCCGATCATATGGTCATTTTCAAAATAATAAGAGTGATGAGAGTCGGATTTTTTTTTGTATGCTTTTTTTTTCCTTCTTAAAATAATATTAATACTAGATTATCATTATATATTAATAAGGCGTTCATTTATATATTGACTCCCTTTTAAATTTGTATCCACCGTGATTGATTTGAAAATCTCCCATAAATTTTTATTTAATTTCTCCCAATAGTGAACTTAAACCAAAATAAAATAACGCGATTATTTTATATGTAAACGAGTCGAGTTTTTTTGACTCATTTTTTTAAACGAGTTTTAAAAATTATTAAAGCATGATTCATTTAAAAAATTAACTGAGCTCAAAATAAGTCAAACCCGAGTCGACCCCAATTATCATCCCAAAAGTCATTATAAGTTAAAGGGTTTTTTCCAACTTTATACTACTTTGAAAGATTTTAAACTTTTTATTTTATATCCTTAAAAATTAAATTATTTATGATGATGCACAAAATGGCTTTGCACGTCACCTGTTAACTNCGAGTTTTAAAAATTATTAAAGCATGATTCATTTAAAAAATGAACTGAGCTCAAAATAAGTCAAACCCGAGTCGACCCCAATTATCATCCCAAAAGTCATTATAAGTTAAAGGGTTTTTTCCAACTTTATACTACTTTGAAAGATTTTAAACTTTTTATTTTATATCTTTAAAAATTAAATTATTTATGATGATGCACAAAATGGCTTTGCACGTCACCTGTTAACTGTAAACAATAAATACAGTAAAAGTAAAGAGAGAATTGGAGGAGACAAGATTTATAGTGGTTCGGTCAACGTGACTTTCGTCCACTCTTGAATGGTTTTGGTCGCCGGGTGCTTTTATTAGCTCAAGGGTGTGAGGAGCAGAGATTACAAGCTTTAAGGGAGAAGAGAGAGTCGTGGTTAAGTAAAGTGCGATCTGTCCCTCAAGTGTTGGTGGGACTTAAATTTATAGTTGTTCTCCTAACAGATTTTGACAAGATATTAATAAGTAGTTGACTAGTTTGTTGGATTTGGCGAGCTCTTCTCAACGTGCTANGAGAAGAGAGAGTCGTGGTTAAGTAAAGTGCGATCTGTCCCTCAAGTGTTGGTGGGACTTAAATTTATAGTTGTCCTCCTAACAGATTTTGACAAGATATTAATAAGTAGTTGACTAGTTTGTTGGATCTGGCGAGCTCTTCTCAACGTGCCAGGCAGTTGTGGTGCTCTCCATGAGATTCAGCCAAAGGATGATGTGGGGTATTGACCATCTTCAGGACAACGAGGATAAAACTTTGGATGACCCTACTTACTCCCTTATTTCCTTGAGCTATTGAGCTTGACTGGGGCTGATCACACTGATGAGTTTGACCGAGTTAGTCATATCGGACTGAATTCGCTAGATCTCTTGGAGTCGGATTATAAACTTGAACTGAGCTTATAACATAAATTGGGTTTTTGGGCTTGACCCATCAATTTATATTACACTTTTAATATATAAAAAATAATGTAATATGATCTTTCTATTAGATTTTGTTAATNATTCAGCCAAAGGATGATGTGGGGTATTGACCATCTTCAGGACAACGAGGATAAAAATTTGGATGACCCTACTTACTCCCTTATTTCCTTGAGCTATTGAGCTTGACCGGGGCTGATCACACTGATGAGCTTGACCAAGTTAGTCATACCGGACTGAATTCGCTAGATCTCTTGGAGTCGGATTATAAACTTGAACTGAGCTTATAACATAAATTGAGTTTTTGGGCTTGACCCATCAATTTATATTACACTTTTAATATATAAAAAATAATGTAATATGATCTTTCTATTAGATTTTGTTAATTTTTTGTCAAAAATCAATCAATGGACACTGATAAAAAAATTTAATGGAACGTTAATAGAAACTTCATATTATAATATATTTAATATATTAAAAATATAATATTTAAAAATATAAAATAAAAAACTTTAATTTTTTTAAAAAAAATTTCAACCACACCCCCTCTAATTTTTCATATCTTCAAGGATACCACCTCTAGTTTATGAATCTTTANTCAAAAATCAATCAATGGACACTGATAAAAAAATTTAATGGAACGTTAATAGAAACTTCATATTATAATATATTTAATATATTAAAAATATAATATTTAAAAATATAAAATAAAAAACTTTAATTTTTTTTAAAAAAATTTCAACCACGCTCCCTCTAATTTTTCATATCTTCAAGGATATCACCTCTAATTTATGAATCTTCAGTGACACCTCTTTTAGTTTAATTTAAATATCACTAGCACCCCTTACCATTAAACAACCATTTCTAACCAAAATAATTCATCTAAAATACCAAAAATACCCCTACATAACCTCAAGTAATTTTTTTACATAAAATTTTATTAAAATTCTAGTTGTTAAAATTTTTTAAAAAAATTCATAAATAACAATTTTAGTAAATAATTTGTTAGTAAATACTAATTTGTTATTTAATAATTCGTAAATTTAAAAAAAAAATTGAGCCTATTAAAATTTTTTTTTTACATATTAAAATTTGAGTCGATTTGAACTCTACTCGAGTTATTAGCGCCGATTAAAATTCTTTTTCGAGTCAATTAAACTTTATATTTTTTTACTTATTAAAATTCGTGTCAATTAAGATTCGATTTATTAAAATTTAAGTCAATTAAAATTTAAATATTTTTATATATTAAAATTTGGGCTGATTAAAATTCAATGCAAATTGATTAAAATTTGATTTGAGTCGATTAAAAATAATTTTTAATTGACTTAAACAAAATTTTAATTAGCCCAAATTTTAATACATAAAAAAATATATTTTTTAATTGGCACAAATTTTAATATGTAAAAAAATAAATTTTAATTAGCTTGAATCGAATTTTAATCGATTCTAATTTAATTACTTAAAAAAAATTAGAAAACAGAGAGAGTTTCATTGAAGATATGTTTATCTAGAGGGGGTGTGGATGAAGTTTATTCTCAAATATATCATGGACAATTTAGTAAAATTGTATTCTACTTAATATTTTTAATCTGACAGGTTGTTATTGAAGATTTAGAAACTAGAAGGGGTGTGTTTGAAAATATGATAAATTAGAAGGGGGGGGGGGTGATTGAACTTTTCCCATTTTTTTATGGTAAAAATTACAATTCGCCATAAGTTAAATGTTTATATCTCTGCCTTCAAAATTTAAACTCTCGCGGTGCTTAACATGTACCAGGTGCGCATGATGTCAATGCAAACCTGCCCTGGCAGGCACTGTTTCAAATACATCTCCGGCTCACGGCGCGTACCCGACCGCTACACCTTCTTATATCCTGACTGGTCCGTGGAACATTGTGTTCCAAGTCGCGCGTGACACCGATCCGACAGCTGTTACTATATAATCCCTAACCTCTCCCACTAGGTCACGACGCGAGAAGGAGAGGAGAGACAGTACTGCCCACTCGCCCCTCTTTAGGCATCCTAATCTCTTCTTCTTGCAAGCAAAACCTCCTTCGCACTTTCCCTCCTTTTCCCTTCAACTTTCGTCTCTCTCATCATCTAGGGTTTAGCAGTTTCTTACTATCTTCTCAAAAATGAGTAGCAACAAAGATCAAATCGACATGTCCGATATCGGCGCTAATCTCCCAGCCGCCGCCGCCGGTACTTGAAAACCCTAAATCCTACTCTCGTTTCTTTACATAGCTATATTATTTTGTGTAACCGAAGTTCTAATTGTTTCTCTCTTTTTTTTTTTGTGTAGCTCTTAGTGCCGAGGATCGTGCAGGTCTTGTTAATGCCCTGAAGGTTGTGGATTTCTACGGATTATAGTTATCTGATTCTGAATATGTATTTATGTACGATGAATATTGTAAATATTTTGGTGTTTTGTTTATTATACTGATTTATATATTATTTTTCTGCAGAATAAGCTTCAGAATCTTGCTGGCCAGCATTCGAACGTTCTTGAGACTCTTTCTCCGAATGTTCGGAAGCGTGTGGAGGTCCTGAGAGAGATTCAGGTTTGCTTTTATCTCAAATCGTAGGAGAAACACGAAAACCATTGTTTAGCATTTTCATTATGATAGCAAGTATTTATTTTTGGCAAGTAAATTTGTTGTTAATCATATCTATTACAGTTTTTCTTTATGATACTCATGGCATATAGCTAGGCAGTGATCAGTGTGGGATGCTTATATGTGTTTGAACGTTGTTATCCCTTTTATGTATTTCGAGTTCTTGATTTACATGTGTGTGTGTGTGCTTATTCCTGTGACATTTTTATATTGTTTTTTACTCATACCTTGTCTATTAATGTTAGCTTCTTAGAAAATGAGTTATGTAAATGTATAAGATTAATTTTTTGAGTCTGGGCTTTCATCCACAGTTCTACTTCTAACAGTAGATGCACGCCTATTATTTGGCGTAGCTCCAGGGGCCAACAAGAAGATGGAGTGGAATTTCTTTTAGTCAGTGATTGTTTGTTATGGCCATTCAGAAATTTATTTGTTGGTCACATGCAGAGGTATTCTGTTTAAATGATTGCTAAGCACAAGACAGAACCAAAACAAATCATACGTGAAAAAGTTTTTGAACTTGCACCGAGATTTAAATCTACTAGGCCATGCACTGTTATGCTTTTATGTGATGATTTTTTTTATTTATAATTATGTGCTACTCATCTATGGTCCAGTAACGGATTGGAATGTGTTAGTTGGTCGTAGAAAGGATGCCCCGAGTGGGTCAAAGACCGAGTCATTCTTAAGGTTTTACTTAGAAAAGGGGTTCATTTGTCGTATGAATTTGTGGAATGCTTGGGCCAGTTATCTTGGTGGTGGTACTTGTTAGCTTAGATAAAATTATTGAAGAGGGAGTCTTCACGAATGATTGAATGAGTGAAACCCATGTTTTGGGCATGATTGCAAACTACTGTAAGTGCAAAATCTGTACCATGATTCCTCTTTTGATAGTTATGCTCCCAATTACTCTTGATTATTATTTCTTAGCATTATTGTTATTTCACTTAGATTTTGAAATATATCAATTTGAATCAGTCTTTGAAATTATTTACTCTGTTCAAATAGGTTGGAGTAGTGTATTTGCTTGGTTGCTAAATTCCATTTTAGAAAATTTGTTCATATATTTGTGCGAATTTTAAAAATTAGGAAAAATCTGTGACAGTTTTGTTTTGTTTACAAAATTTTGAAATTGAGATGCCGGAAATGCATGTATGAAGCCTTTGGTGGAGAGATCCNATTATTGTTATTTCACTTAGATTTTGAAATATATCAATTTGAATCAGTCTTTGAAATTATTTACTCTGTTCAAATAGGTTGGAGTAGTGTATTTGCTTGGTTGCTAAATTCCATTTTAGAAAATTTGTTCATATATTTGTGCGAATTTTAAAAATTAGGAAAAATCTGTGACAGTTTTGTTTTGTTTACAAAATTTTGAAATTGAGATGCCGGAAATGCATGTATGACACTTGGAGAATGTTATTTTTTTCTAAAACAAAATGTCCAAGTTTTTTTCTGCAAATATCATTTCATTTTTAACACTAGAAAGTTTCTTTTTGTAAATGAAACTTTTTTCATCCTTCGTGCTCTTGAAACCAATACTCTATAGTGTAAGTGTCTTATGCAAGTTAAGATAGTGCTTCGAGTTTCTTGTAGGTAAAATCGCAGTTTGCATTGTGTATAACTTATATTCTTGAAGCCACTTTTTTTTTATAGGATGTAATATTAATGCTGATAATGTGTATATTATGATGAAATTTTGATTCACAAATGGTGTCATGCATTATATTATGTTCTTGAACAACTAGTAAAAAAGGATTGCTTGAAGTGGGTTCTGAAATGTACCATTTTTCCGTTTGACAGGGTCAACATGATGAGCTAGAGGCAAAGTTTTTTGAGGAGAGAGCAGCCCTTGAAGCTAAATACCAGAAGCTTTATGAGCCACTATACTCAAAGGTATGGAAGATCTTGCCCGGAATCCAGTGCTGGACTAGCATATTGAGTCATTGTCTGATTATGATTCCTCATATTTTTTATGATTAAATTATTAAAATCTGAAGTGGTCCAATATTGCTTTGCAAAGTATGCAATAGGTATGCCCTATTGGTTAACTCAAATATTCTATTGGACTAACTGCAGAGATATGAAATAGTCAATGGTGTTGTTGAAGTTGAAGGAGTAACAAGTGTAGCTGCAATGGATGAGGAAGGCGATAAAGCCAACGAAGGTGAGATACTCAGTCAAAAATTACCTGACAAGTATTTCTCCGTATTTTTTTCTTCCTCGTGTTCATCAGAAAGGTGACATACTAGGCCAAAAATTTCTGGACAATTTTTCATCCATAAGTGACATACTCCTTCACAAATTATTTGACGAAGTCCTTCTCCACCTATTTTTTTCTTGCTCTCGTCCATCTTTCCGATGGAGAATCATTTCTTTATGCGTCTGAGTTTGATGTTGAACTGGTGCCTTAAATGCAGGGAAAGGTGTACCTGATTTCTGGCTCACATCGATGAAGACTAATGAAATATTGGCTGAAGAGGTAGGATTTACGTTAAGCCATCCCCTCTTTTCCCCCCTCTCTATCCCTTGTTCTGTTGTGAACTGACTTTGATTCTGGTACTTCCGTAGATCTCTGAGCGTGACGAAGAGGCTCTCAAATATCTCAAAGATATTAAGTGGTGTAGGATTGATAATCCAAAAGGTTTCAAGCTGGAGTTCTTCTTTGATCCTAATCCTTTTTTCAAGAACACTGTTTTGACAAAGACTTATCACATGATTGATGATGATGAACCTATCTTGGAGAAGGCAATAGGGTAAGTTTCCATTAGCTTGTCTTCCGGTTTAACTTTTTTGGTCTTTTTTGTTCATTGCTCAGGCTATGTTTGTCATTTTGTAGTACGGATATTGAATGGTATCCAGGTAAGTGCTTGACACAAAAGATCCTAAAGAAGAAGCCAAAGAAAGGGTCCAAGAATGCGAAACCTATCACTAAGACTGAAAATTGTGAAAGTTTCTTCAACTTCTTTAACCCTCCACAGGTTCCTGAGGATGAGGATGATATTGATGAAGATACTGTAAGTTCAGCAGCTCTGTCTATGTTAAAATATTAGTTGTATCTGTTGACTCTTTTTTTTCATGTTCTGTGGTACACCTGTTAACAGGCCGAAGAACTACAGAATCAAATGGAACAAGACTACGACATTGGGTAAGTTGCCAATATCTTTTCATCTGGTGCGGTGTTCTTAATTATTAGATGTTGTGATACGTTGTTAAGAGCTATTTGGCACTGAAGTTCATTTATGCTAGATCTTTCATCTAGTGTTTGTTGTGAATACCTTGTATTTGTTTCTAGTCTCTTGGATTATTCTAGGGTAATTGTAGCTATGGAATTTTTGTTGCCTAATTTCTTTTGCAACTTATTACACGATTGTATCTCTTGTGGTTATGGTCTTTTGAAGGGAGATTCCTTGCATAAATTTGAGTTGTAATTGGAACAAGAAACGAGAAAACAGAATTTAAATGTTTCTTTCTTGAAAACCAAAATCCGATAACATACAACATCAGAAACTTTTCACATGCTATGTGGAGCACATTGACACTATGCTGTTGTGCAGCTCAACCATTCGGGACAAAATTATCCCTCATGCGGTCTCATGGTTTACTGGAGAGGCTGTCCAGGGAGATGAGTTGGAAGATGTTGAAGATGAGGATGATGATGAAGACGACGTAGATGAAGATGAAGAAGATGAGGACGAAGATGAGGATGAGGATGATGATGACGAGGATGAAGATGAAGAGGAGGGCAAAGGCAGGAAGAAGGTGAATTTTCAGGAGACATCTCTCTCCCTCTCACTCTCTCTCTCTCTCTCTCAGACACGGACACACAACCGTGAATTTGTGATTTTTTTTTTTTCCTTTTAACTGTTGAAGTTGCTAATTTGGATGATTTTTTTGGGGTTTCTTGTTGAAATATACTTTGCAGTCATCTGGAACAAAGGTGAGATAACAATCCTATTGTATGTTTTCTCAATGTAATTATCTTGCTCTATGAACTGTGGTTTTCATAACTTCAGTTTGGTTGTTTAAATTGCAGAAGATTGGAAAAGCACAAGGTGGCGATGGTCAGCAAGGTGAGCGCCCTCCAGAGTGCAAGCAACAGTAATGTTGAACTGTTGATTTGCAGAAAACAGCATATGGAAACCGGGTGGTGTAGTCTTGGTGTCCTTGGTTGTTGAGAGTTTTGCCTCTTTGAATTTCTACCTTTATTTACTAGAATTGTCAGGTCTTCTCTCTTTGGTTGAGAGGAGTTTTATGTATCAATTTTCCTTGGGTTGACTGTGTGGTGGTGAGTTTTACAAGGAAATTATTGAAGTATATCATGCATTTGTCTGCAATGATTTGTCCTCTTTAGTATTTCCCATATATATATCAATGTTGTTATTTTGTACATTTACATTGTACTTTCTTCCCTCAAAGATTTATGTTCTGTTTCGGTTGACTTTATGTAGAGTGATGTCTTTTTGTATGACTTATGTGTGAATTGATTTAGATTGAATACTCTCTTCAATTTTTGTTTTTTTGGGATCTTTATGTGGAGAACTCTAGTGTTTATACCAGCAGACGCAAGCACATAGGCAATGGGGCGTATTACAACCTCTACAAGATCATTTGCTAGAGGAGGGGAACTTGCTGAAGAATTAATATGCTTGTCAAGGCCGGTGTTTGGAGGCAGTCCGATTCTAGAACCAAAAAGTGTTTCTGGTATTATAAGCACCAATTTTGATTCCAATGANGAATTAATATGCTTGTCAAGGCCGGTGTTTGGAGGCAGTCCGATTCTAGAACCAAAGAGTGTTTCTGGTATTATAAGCACCAGTTTTGATTCCAATGATATGTGTTTCCTGCCGCTTAGTACGAACCAAGAGGTCTGGTTCAAAGGGTAGGTCGTGGGCCTTGTTTTTTGGGCACAGTATCTTGGCTGTGCTTGTTGACTGTTAACAGCCCCCGACTGCTTGGCCGATGGTCTGTACTCGACTGTTGCCTATATAGCAAACCAGCGGCATATTGCCCACCCCCAGTTTAATTCCTGAATTTACTATCCCTTCTTGCAAGGGAATAGGTGTTTTGGAACTGTATCAGTAGGTCCAAATTGAGTTATTCCAACATCAATGCTTATCAGTGCATCTATCAGCTGAAGCTTGCGGAAGAGAGACAATAGTGGCAATGTTAGTTTATTTGCATAATTGTCAGATTATCAAAATCTTCCAAGATAGAATTCAAATTATTGTCATATCGTGATTTTGATGCCATCCTACTTGAAAGTTTTCAATTGATCTGAGCTCTTTTCATGCTCCAAGCACTCAATTTTGAGATTTGTACACTCTCCATTCCAGTATTGAATGCATACAAGTGTGCTTCATCACCGATCGCCATGGTGGGATAAACCCTAGCAGTGATGCAAGCCTTTCCCTCCCCACCAAAGCTCTCCACTATAGAATGATCAATCTGCAAAAGGGATGCTTTAAACATAAGCTAAAATGATGAAACTATAGACATGAGCCAGGAACCATGCAATGTCAAAATAGAACTCTGGGTGGTCCTGATCGTATATACAATGTTCTATGGATAAATTGAAGTTGTAATCAAGTGTTATGCGAACTAGAAATGGTAATGGAGGGGTTTGGGCCCATCATTTGGTGAGTGCTGCCTGAGAAGTTCCTTTCACAAATATTACCTCATGAGTATTTCTCAACACTTCTAAGCAGGGCCATGAGCACAATAAGATACCAACAAAGGATGAAAAGGCTTGAGTTCCATTTTTGCATTTTCGGGTGATGAACGAGTCGTCAAATTCACTTGATATGAGTCAACATGAATTTGGCTTATATATATATAACACGACATGAATTCAAATATACAACTACGAATGAGTTGAACATAACTTAAATATTCATATGATATGAATTAAACTTTTCAGGATATTAAGCTTGTATTTGGTGGACAACTCAAAAGTCGATTTTGTAGATACAAGTGCCTCTCAAAGGGATAAGATTGTTTCGTGTCAAAAAAAAAAATTGACTTATTAAAAAGTGCATCTTCAAGATATTTATTTTAGAGAAGTCTCTTCGGGAAGTTTCTTAAAACCATCCTATTTGTACTTCTCGGAAGTGATTTTTAATTTCACATTATTTTTCAAAATTAGTCTTAATTTTTGCAATTAAATATCTATTTTAGCCCTAAGTTACATATCTCAAAAAGCCAAAAAAAAAAAAAAATCCTACTAGAACACTAGTTGTAAATAGACATTAGTTTAAAATCACTTCCAAAACATTCTTTTACCAAACAGTTAGGTATTCCAAAGCAGGACATGGTGTGGTCAACTTTCTTAATGAAGATTCTAGTAAACTTTTAGTCCTTGAATCCAAAGAGGTCTGATTAAAACCATTAGCTTCACCTTTTGAACCGTCAAACATGAACCAATTTATCAAGCTTGAAGAGAGAAGAAAAAACTTACCAAGCTCCTGAGAGACAGAGGTTCATGGATTGGATCCACTTCAATGAAAGATCCATAAGTGGTCTTGTCAGTTTTTTGATTCAGTGAAGACCTGTAAATTTTATAAGGATTAAACTTTCTAAATTCTGGTGTGTGTGTGAGTGAGAGAGAGAGAGTAGACCTGCTCTGGTCACTGCACATCAGCACCACATATCTGTCTTGACCTTTGAAGATTCTGAAGAACACTGCAGTGTATTCCTGCAATTCCTTCGAAGCCAAAACCATTAATCCAAATGGTCCTAGCTCACCTTTTATTGATGCATTCTTTTGGCTACATAGTGTCTGTGGGTTAGTCCAACTTTGGTCCAGTTCATCTGCCTTTTCAAGCTCTGGTACCTCAAATGATATCTCTATATCCGCCTGTAAAATCATGTGAAAGGAAGGTTGAGAATTTTACTTCTTCTACGATGGAAATGTTGGACAATGGTCTACCATTATTCCGTTGCAGGTGACAGCTGAATCAAGAATCAAAATTTCATTTGGTTTCTACTTAAACAATCAAAACGTTTTTGTTTCTGAATTGACCAAAAATATGCACCGACACAATATTTTGATCATTACTCACCAATTATAACCATAAACTCACCTGTGCAGCAGTGATACCTGAAACTTCAAGCATTGATCCTCCCTTAAGCACTGTGCTAGGCCAATCAACTCGGTTTGTTCGAAGCGTTTCAATCTCTACTATTGGCCATTGCACCAGTTGCTGTCTAGATTTATCCAGCCAAAGATGCCTTGGAATTGCCTGAAGGACAAAGCAAGCAAAAAAAATTACTCACTGTGGACTAATTGAATTTGTTTTTATTTTGTCTAAAACTCTAGACAACAAAATTACCTGAACTCCAGACCATCCCTGTTTAACATACTCAGGTTGTGGCAAAGATTCATTGATCCAGCCCCATAATATCCTTCGATTCTTCAATCCGTCATAGAAAGTCTTTGAAGCATAGAACTTCCCGTAATCATACCTTAAACCCGAATCGTTATCAATGGAACCATTATCCGGAATATAGATATCCTTGATGTGGTCATATGTTCCAATTGTGTAGTACTCATGTTTAGTATCATCCAAGCTCACCTTAAGCACATGTTTAATGCCTAAACCAATCACTGATGTGTCTAAACCACTTCGGCTGGTGGAAACTGGATAAAAATCAGGGCATTCCCACATTCCTGTTCCATTAGCTGAATGAAGAGGGTGCTGAGCTTTAGTCCAGTGAATAAAATCTTTGCTTCTGTAGAGAATTGCTAGTCCTCGATGATTCCTTTTGCTTCCGATGATCACCCTCCATCTACCATCAGGGTCTAGCCAAGATGTGGTTGGATCTCTAAATGAGCTAGCATTGATTTTATTGATTGTAGTTGGTGCCATTAGTGGATTGTTTGGGGACTTATCCCACTCAGTAAGGTATGGATCAGAGAGGTTTTTGGGCACAGCAAGGTTTTGTATTTGTTGGTTCTGTGGGTCTATTCCGGTGTAGAGAATGGCCGGTTTGTCCCCAGGGAGGATAGTCGTAGAACCCGACCAGCAACCATTGATATCAGATTGTTGGGATGGATAGATAGCATGCTCATGGGGGATCCAATTTACAAGATCTTCTGATGTAGAGTGAGCCCATACTATGTTACCCCAGTCTGCACCGTATGGATTGTACTGGTAGAATAGATGGTAAATTCCTTTGTAAATCAAGGGCCCTGCAACATAAAAATGTTACACTGAAGAACGGTGCCGTGGACCCAAAGTATATATAATGCCAAATGAACAGGCCTAATTGGGCGCACGCACAGAGCAATTCTACTGGTTAACATGTGATAAGAACAGAAAAGAACTGCTCAGTGTTTTGAGAAATGTATTCTTCTATGTAGTTACTGAACTTCAAAAACTATTGTTTCAAGCATGAACAAAAGCAGAAAATAACTCACCATTGGGGTCTGCATATCCGAGGACGGGCATTTTGTCCATTCACAAGCAAAGAACAAATCAATTGATACAAACAAGAAAGAGAAAAGTATAATGTTAGAGAGATGATCATGAAGAACAGTACAGCAATTAGTTAACAATGTTCAAAGAATAGTTTTTTGTCAAAGGCAATACCATTCATCCAGTTCTTGGGAGGTTGGAAGTGATAAGACGTTCTGTAAGTTTGGTTTGGTGATGTTGGTTGAAGGGTTTGAAGGTTTCTGTAAACAATGTGGGATGCTTCAAGCTCAAGAACACCATGGCTAAGCATGAGAAACAATAAGTATATCTGCCAAACAAAAGCACTTGCCATGGCTGCCTTGAGGGAACAAGAAGGCTAGGACATGGTGGTCCATATATAACCAATTTCCAAAACAATTTATGAAGGTAATACCATTGCTCTCGATAAGGGGATGGATATCAACATCAGTGAAAGCGAAAAGTCAAGCCTTTGAAATGTTGTTTCATTTGTCTGATTGTTATAAGATTATTCCAACTCATGAAAGGGAGAGAAGTCTCAAAAAAGAAGAGGAAAGATAATTGAAAAATCATTTTATGATTCACATCCCTTTGGGATTTTTAGGTCGGTTTTAGATTCTCCTCCACACAATTTCTCTTAATTTTTCTTGATGTAATTCAAAAATTCAAGTGCGGTTCATTTTTATATAGCACTAGTCAAGGGGGAGATAAGGTTATGGAAGTGACCAAGAATAAGGAAACTAAGAGCTAGCCCATAGGTATCACTATCTGAGCTTGACAACTTAGGGGATTTTTTACTTCATGTATCAAGCTTAATATATATTTACCAGCAAATTTCCATGGTTTACTCCAAATGCTTGGTTATATAGACCGGAGTGATGTAGAATATTTGACAACTGATTAGTTGGAGCTGGAAGACTATCGTGTATTCAAGGCACAACAGAACGTTATAAATTGATTCATAATAAAAAGGGTTAGACTCAAAATTAAGCAGGACTAGTGTTATTTGATCCGGATTGAACCCATGTTTTCTCAAATCAATTTAGTTTTNTTCTTGATGTAATTCAAAAATTCAAGTGCGGTTCATTTTTATATAGCACTAGTCAAGGGGGAGATAAGGTTATGGAAGTGACCAAGAATAAGGAAACTAAGAGCTAGCCCATAGGTATCACTATCTGAGCTTGACAACTTAGGGGATTTTTTACTTCATGTATCAAGCTTAATATATATTTACCAGCAAATTTCCATGGTTTACTCCAAATGCTTGGTTATATAGACCGGAGTGATGTAGAATATTTGACAACTGATTAGTTGGAGCTGGAAGACTATCGTGTATTCAAAGCACAACAGAACGTTATAAATTGATTGATAATAAAAAGGGTTAGACTCAAAATTAAGCAGGACTAGAGTTATTTGATCCGGATTGAACCCATGTTTTCTCAAATCAATTTAGTTCTGTCAATTTTATTAATAATAATAAATCCCAGGAGATTCCGATTTTAGTGCTGTAAACTTTTATTAGACTCTCAATGACACATACTTTTATTCTAATTAATTAAATTGTAATTTTTTATTTTTACTAAGTTGCCTAGAATTAGGACTTTCTCTCTCTACGAAAGTTTAGACTTTAGATTGTTTCTATATATATTCTTGTGATGTACTTCGGATTTCTCTTTAAATAATACAATTTGCAAAGTGTTTCTCTCATATTTTCTCTGTGTATTCAAAATTGTTCTTGTGTTCAATACATTAAAAAAATGGATTTTTTTTTTTTTTGTGTCCCTATTTACCACTTGAGTCAACAAGAGAGTCGTTTGGATCATCAAAAACAGTTGTAGCTCATTTTACAAGGGCTATTTAGTTAAATAGTTGTCTCGTTTTTCAGGATTTAGAGTCTTCTATACAGAATACACACTAAACTTAACAAAGCAGCTAACTTGCATTTTTAAATTAGAAGTTCTCTCTCTCTCTCTCTCTCTCTCTCTCTTAAATGTCAAACTTGCTGCATTGTTTAAATGCTTATCTTCCACAAACTCTTCCTGCAGTTTTTTATATGCTCCATGAATGTCAAATGCCAGTTGTTTAGTTAATATTGGAAAAGTAGATATGAGATTTTTTCTACAATCCTTCTCATGGATGACATAACCGTTGAAGACATGTGTCCTATTCTCATTCTCTTTAAAGGGTCTAGTTTTGTGTAATCGTTTTTTTAAATAACGAAGAATCGTCTCAATCACGTATTTTTTAGACTCATGACTGCAACACAAATGTCAAATACACACAACGTATGCTCTTATTTGACATTTTCTAAGGTGTCTAATTGAAATGCAACCCACTCCAGGCAATTTAGGTCAATGGTATGTATCATCATCCTATTCCCATAGGGGGATGGCTAATGGATGGGGGATTGTAAAGGTATGGGAGGATTTTCTTATAAATTTGTATAATCTTTGAGAATCAACTTTTCTAAAGTTTATATATAATTTTGGAGCGGAGTCAATGAGTGATATTCAAACATTATTTTTGAACTTATGCTACTATCAATGGAAAAATAGCAATATTAAATTGGTTTTATTAGGACTAAAAACTTGGTATCAACAATACAACGGAGAAATACCAATAACAAATTGGTTAATTAGGGGTTCCAAAATTTATCATCAACAATATAGTCACGTGAATAACTAAAAATAATCGTAGAATATTGTGAAGAATTTATTGAGATTTTTTCCCCATAAATAATAATGTCTTAATTGATTTGAGCTTTCTTCATACTCCATGCAGTCAAGCTTGAGATTGTAACATTCTCAGTTCCATTATTGAAGGCAAACAAGTGGGCCCCATCACCAATGGCCATGGTGGGATAAACTCTAGCTGTGAAGCATGCCTTTCCTTCACCACCAAAGCTCTCTACAATGGAGTGATCTATCTGCAAAAGGGATGAGTTTCAAATGCTTTGGTAAAACAAAGCTAAGACGTTGAAAAGAGCAGGAGGAGAACATCAAAGTGTAAGACTCTGGTTAAAACTTGAAAATCATTGTGGCCATTATTAGATGTTTAATTTGTACAACAACATGTACTTTATCCAAATTCAACTCGAAATGTTGAGTATTTTGGTACGTATATTTTCACTACAACTAAATTTATACACGGGTTTATATTTCAAATTCCGGGTACCCAACTCGATATAATAAATTATATCCTAACTTAGGCGGTCTTGGAGAAAAAAATCAGTTAATTATGTTAACTTACTAAACTCCTCAGTGACAACTTCTCTCGAACAGGATCCAAATCCATGAAAGCTCCATATGTGGGTTTGTCATAATCTAAGTGTAACGAAGACCTGTCAATTACCAGAAAAAAAGATTAACATTCTCAAATTGGGTTAAACAAGAGAGAGAGAGAGAGAGAGAGAGAGAGACCTGCTAAGGTCAGTGCACATGAGCACCACATAATTTGTTTGAACTTTGAAAATTCTAAAGAAAACTGCCGTGTACTCCTGCAAGTCCTTTGAAGCCAAAACCATTAACCCGAATGGTCCTAGCCCACCTTTAACTGAGGCACCATTCCGGCTGCAGAGCTCTTGTGGGTTAGTCCAACTTGGGTCCAACACGTCCGCTTTCTCGTAGTCTGATATTTCAAATAGAATATCTACATCTGCCTGTAACAACATTATTAAAAGAGTATGTCTGTAAATTAAAATATCAAAAAATAATTTTTTGTTAACGTACTTTCTTTTTTTTAACCATTACAAAGCAACACGTGTGAAATTTTATTATTATAAGGTCTACGATGAGTACAGAAAAATTACTTATCCTCCAGTCAAAGCCAGACTGACCTGTGAACCTGTGACCCCAGCAACTTCAAGCACTGACCCTCCAATAAGCACTTTGCTGGGTAAGTTAACCTGGTTAGTACGTAGCTTTTCAATCTCTTTAACTGGCCATTGCATTATTTGCTTCCCAGATTTGTCTAGCCAAAGCTTCCTAGGAATTGCCTGAACATGGAAAAAAAAAAAAAAAGTCTTGAAAAGTCATGCCAAGTGCATGTCCAAGATTAAAGAAATACGTCCACGCAAAGGTGGTAGCATTTACACAAATTTCACTGAAATGAGGCATCATAATGACCAGAACGATGTTATAACCTTTGTTTTAAGGGTTCAAATAAATAGCCCCAGGCCAGCAAGCCTGGTGGCCCACTGGTCTTCTGAATTGAGGCATCAAAACATGATACAATTTATTAACACGATATGAATACGATACGAAGTTAAAGGGTTTGAATTTTCTTTAAGTCACCCATTTTGTTAGTAAGTGGTCTGACAGGATATGATTAATAAAAAAAATCGGGTATGGATGAAATCAATCAAAATATATATACGACACAACTCGTTTATATGCTGATTATACACGACATGAACCTCATATAACATGATTTGTTAAGCACGAATTAATAAATAAATCAAGTATGAGTGAAATATTTTTTAATACAACCCCACAAAGACCTGATACAATCTCACCTTACCCAACACGATTGATACGCTCACTTCTAAAAACACCGATTATGGGCAGCACAATGGACAAGGCGGGTCAGTGCTATGGGTACTTACCTAGTGGATTATGATGGCCCAGCCCAACCTGGCCCGGCCCGCTATTGAGCGGTATGTCAGTTTGATTACTTTGTGTTTGTGGCTCTCTAAGAGACCAAAACAATATGTCAAACAATAGGAACCTACTAATCCACGAGATTTTTGTCAATTGTGGGGTCTGAAGAGATTAATTACCTGAAGTCCAGACCATCCCTTCGTAAGATCAATGGTTGCATTTGTCGATTCACTGATCCAACCCCACAAGACCCTCCTGTTCTTAGCACTGTCAAAGAAAGTTTTTGAACCATAAAACTTTCCATAATCATACCTCAACCCCCTACTGTCATCTACAAATCCCTTGTCTGGAACATAGGTATCGTTCTCAGGATTATAAGTTCCAACAGTATAGTACTCATGCCCAGTTCCACCCAAGCTTGCCTTAAGAACATGCCTAATGCCCGAACCAATCACCGATGAATCGAAACCATTTTTGCTGCTATTAGAAACTGGATAAAAATCAGGACACTCCCACATTCCAGTGTCCTTAGAGGAGTGAAGAGGGTGCTGAGCTTTTTTCCAGTGAATAAAATCCTTGCTTCTGTAAAGAAGTGCCATTCCACGGCCATTTCTATTGCTTCCGATGATCATTCTCCATCTCCCATCAGGACCAAGCCAAGCAGTGGTTGGGTCTCGAAACGAGCTCGGATCGATATTGTTTTCGAAAGTGGGTATGAGTATCGGATTATAAGGTGATTTAACCCATTCTATGAGGAAGGGGTCTGATAGGTTCTTGGGCATGGCTAGGTTTTGAACTTGGCGGTTCTGGGGGTTTATTCCAGTGTAGAGAATGGCTGGTTTTTCACCGGGGAGAATTGTGGCAGAACCTGACCAGCATCCATTGATATCATAAGGATGGGATGGGTATATGGCTGGTGGATGTGCGGCCCAGTTGACGAGGTCTGTTGATGTAGAATGGGCCCAAACTATGTTCCCCCAAACTGCTTCATATGGGTTGTACTGGTAGAACAAATGGTAAATCCCCTTGTAAATCATGGGTCCTGCAACAGTAGGTACAAAGACATACATAATCATCAAACTCCAAAGATGTCTAATATTGTGTGCGCATATACATATGTNGGAGCGGAGTCAATGAGTGATATTCAAACATTATTTTTGAACTTATGCTACTATCAATGGGAAAATAGCAATATTAAATTGGTTTTATTAGGACTAAAAACTTGGTATCAACAATACAACGGAGAAATACCAATAACAAATTGGTTAATTAGGGGTTCCAAAATTTATCATCAACAATATAGTCACGTGAATAACTAAAAATAATCGTAGAATATTGTGAAGAATTTATTGAGATTTTTTCCCCATAAATAATAATGTCTTAATTGATTTGAGCTTTCTTCATACTCCATGCAGTCAAGCTTGAGATTGTAACATTCTCAGTTCCATTATTGAAGGCAAACAAGTGGGCCCCATCACCAATGGCCATGGTGGGATAAACTCTAGCTGTGAAGCATGCCTTTCCTTCACCACCAAAGCTCTCTACAATGGAGTGATCTATCTGCAAAAGGGATGAGTTTCAAATGCTTTGGTAAAACAAAGCTAAGACGTTGAAAAGAGCAGGAGGAGAACATCAAAGTGTAAGACTCTGGTTAAAACTTGAAAATCATTGTGGCCATTATTAGATGTTTAATTTGTACAACAACATGTACTTTATCCAAATTCAACTCGAAATGTTGAGCATTTTGGTACGTATATTTTCACTACAACTAAATTTATACACGGGTTTATATTTCAAATTCCGGGTACCCAACTCGATATAATAAATTATATCCTAACTTAGGCGGTCTTGGAGAAAAAAATCAGTTAATTATGTTAACTTACTAAACTCCTCAGTGACAACTTCTCTCGAACAGGATCCAAATCCATGAAAGCTCCATATGTGGGTTTGTCATAATCTAAGTGTAACGAAGACCTGTCAATTACCAGAAAAAAAGATTAACATTCTCAAATTGGGTTAAACAAGAGAGAGAGAGAGAGAGAGAGAGAGAGACCTGCTAAGGTCAGTGCACATGAGCACCACATAATTTGTTTGAACTTTGAAAATTCTAAAGAAAACTGCCGTGTACTCCTGCAAGTCCTTTGAAGCCAAAACCATTAACCCGAATGGTCCTAGCCCACCTTTAACTGAGGCACCATTCCGGCTGCAGAGCTCTTGTGGGTTAGTCCAACTTGGGTCCAACACGTCCGCTTTCTCGTAGTCTGATATTTCAAATAGAATATCTACATCTGCCTGTAACAACATTATTAAAAGAGTATGTCTGTAAATTAAAATATCAAAAAATAATTTTTTGTTAACGTACTTTCTTTTTTTTAACCATTACAAAGCAACACGTGTGAAATTTTATTATTATAAGGTCTACGATGAGTACAGAAAAATTACTTATCCTCCAGTCAAAGCCAGACTGACCTGTGAACCTGTGACCCCAGCAACTTCAAGCACTGACCCTCCAATAAGCACTTTGCTGGGTAAGTTAACCTGGTTAGTACGTAGCTTTTCAATCTCTTTAACTGGCCATTGCATTATTTGCTTCCCAGATTTGTCTAGCCAAAGCTTCCTAGGAATTGCCTGAACATGGAAAAAAAAAAAAAAGTCTTGAAAAGTCATGCCAAGTGCATGTCCAAGATTAAAGAAATACGTCCACGCAAAGTTGGTAGCATTTACACAAATTTCACTGAAATGAGGCATCATAATGACCAGAACGATGTTATAACCTTTGTTTTAAGGGTTCAAATAAATAGCCCCAGGCCAGCAAGCCTGGTGGCCCACTGGTCTTCTGAATTGAGGCATCAAAACATGATACAATTTATTAACACGATATGAATACGATACGAAGTTAAAGGGTTTGAATTTTCTTTAAGTCACCCATTTTGTTAATAAGTGGTCTGACAGGATATGATTAATAAAAAAAATCGGGTATGGATGAAATCAATCAAAATATATATACGACACAACTCGTTTATATACTGATTATACACGACATGAACCTCATATAACATGATTTGTTAAGCACGAATTAATAAATAAATCAAGTATGGGTGAAATATTTTTTAATACAACCCCACAAAGACCTGATACAATCTCGCCTTACCCAACACGATTGATACGCTCACTTCTAAAAACACCGATTATGGGCAGCACAATGGACAAGGCGGGTCAGTGCTATGGGTACTTACCTAGTGGATTATGATGGCCCAGCCCAACCTGGCCCGGCCCGCTATTGAGCGGTATGTCAGTTTGATTACTTTGTGTTTGTGGCTCTCTAAGAGACCAAAACAATATGTCAAACAATAGGAACCTACTAATCCACGAGATTTTTGTCAATTGTGGGGTCTGAAGAGATTAATTACCTGAAGTCCAGACCATCCCTTCGTAAGATCAATGGTTGCATTTGTCGATTCACTGATCCAACCCCACAAGACCCTCCTGTTCTTAGCACTGTCAAAGAAAGTTTTTGAACCATAAAACTTTCCATAATCATACCTCAACCCCCTACTGTCATCTACAAATCCCTTGTCTGGAACATAGGTATCGTTCTCAGGATTATAAGTTCCAACAGTATAGTACTCATGCCCAGTTCCACCCAAGCTTGCCTTAAGAACATGCCTAATGCCCGAACCAATCACCGATGAATCGAAACCATTTTTGCTGCTATTAGAAACTGGATAAAAATCAGGACACTCCCACATTCCAGTGTCCTTAGAGGAGTGAAGAGGGTGCTGAGCTTTTTTCCAGTGAATAAAATCCTTGCTTCTGTAAAGAAGTGCCATTCCACGGCCATTTCTATTGCTTCCGATGATCATTCTCCATCTCCCATCAGGACCAAGCCAAGCAGTGGTTGGGTCTCGAAACGAGCTCGGATCGATATTGTTTTCGAAAGTGGGTATGAGTATCGGATTATAAGGTGATTTAACCCATTCTATGAGGAAGGGGTCTGATAGGTTCTTGGGCATGGCTAGGTTTTGAACTTGGCGGTTCTGGGGGTTTATTCCAGTGTAGAGAATGGCTGGTTTTTCACCGGGGAGAATTGTGGCAGAACCTGACCAGCATCCATTGATATCATAAGGATGGGATGGGTATATGGCTGGTGGATGTGCGGCCCAGTTGACGAGGTCTGTTGATGTAGAATGGGCCCAAACTATGTTCCCCCAAACTGCTTCATATGGGTTGTACTGGTAGAACAAATGGTAAATCCCCTTGTAAATCATGGGTCCTGCAACAGTAGGTACAAAGACATACATAATCATCAAACTCCAAAGATGTCTAATATTGTGTGCGCATATACATATCTATACACAAATTCTTAATTAAACGAACTTTTTATCTTAATTATTTAGTGTCGGTTGCTCTATCAAAGACTACAATTTCGAATAAAGTTTAAAGTTATCCTATTTATTTTCCCTATTTCATTTAAAACTATTTTCGATCTTCTTTTATATCTCTCGGATTATTATTGATATTCATAGACATAATATGTTTCTGAGAAGCCTGATTTAACTATAACAGGAGTCAGCAAAGAACTCACCATTAGGGTCTGCGAATCAAAAGACACCCATTTGTCCAATTAACCAGCATAAGAAGCCAAATCAGAGGAACATGAAGAAGAAAGCAAAATTATTAGAGGCTTGAACACTAGAATTACAGAATGAACAAAGAACTATATATACACTTGATACTTCAAAAAAGAATAGTAATGTGGAGAAAAATTACCATTCATCCAATTCTGGGGAGGTTGGAAGTGATATGCAGTTCTGTAAGGCTGACGTTTTGATGACTGAGATTGCATAGATTGAGGGTTTCTGTATTCATGCTGGGAAGCTTCAAGCTCAAGAACACCATGACCAAGGAGGAGAGAGAACAAACATATCACCCAAACACAAGATTTAGCCATGATTGCCTTGTGGAAATGATCAGAAGAAGGTAAACCTGTGGTGTCCTATATATATATATGAATGGACTATATATAAGTGATTGGAAATGAAAGAACTCACATAATGTGGTGGAAAAAAAGAGACTAGGGTTTCAAATGCAAAAGGATTAAGGAAGATGATGGGAAGAAATGTAAATCAATGAATGTCAAAAGTCTCAATTGTTTCGTTATGTCTGTCTTTCGTGCAAGTCTTGGTCTCTGAATATATTCATTGCAACGGATGCGTGGTATGACCGTTGCATTATTAAATATTTTCTGAGTCTTTGAAACCCATAGAAGGAACAGACAGATGTCTAGGCTGGGGTACAGATCGAAGTAATGCTAGATGAACTTAAAAATTAAATTTGATAATCTTAACCATTAAATAGGTAGTGGGTCCTAATAAATGCCGGAACCTACAGTGAAATCAATGGTTGAAATTATCAAATCTACTTTTTAAATCCATATAACATTGCTCTCCGGTTCGAAAAAACTGTCTTAGTTCTGTTCTCTGTCACATGTTTTTTTTTTCATATGCAAATTTCTTGACTAATCCTATGTGTGAGAAAATCTGCAAAGTAGTTTGCCGGGAAATTACTCTGCATTTTCCACAAATTCCATGGTAGAATGGATGAGAAAGTCCCAAGAATGAAAATTCAAAAGATTGGGAAGGGAAAACACTGTCCTCCATTTTCTGCTTGGTAAAAAGGATAAAAAGTTGAAAATATGAATTTTTTGTATCTTTTGGTGTAAATATGAAAGTAAAAAAAGAGAAAAATAAAAAAACTTTTTCTTATCGGATTTCAACTAACACATTAACTCTTAAATTATATCTAATTACATATTAACATATTATGACTGATAGGGTCTCGGAAATCACAGCCCAAAGCCCAACATATGTGATGTTATTGTGTCAAGTGTAAGAGTTGGTTTGGTAAATTGGACTATCTGTTAAAAATGAAATATCTATTGAAAATGAAAACACATAAGATAAGTGGTTCGCTTTAGTCAATAGACCAATGTTACGTCCATTGTAATAGAGTCTCTTGCTCATTGAGTTTGTATATTAAAATTTCGATATATACAACTGGAGTTTAGGCGCTAGACCCTTACAGGGGTTGGTATTTTGCTTATAGATTATACACGGTCGATAAACGTTCTCTAGTGACCTCTTCATTTTTTTGTAAGACTGTTCTATATATATGGGTTGCTTTTTTTGTGATTTTTGACAGTTTCTTCTACTTTTTTTTATCGATCATGTGGGGACCTCCTGTCCTTGTCTTGCAAAAGTCTTTCTCAGTNTTGTACTGGTAGAACAAATGGTAAATCCCCTTGTAAATCATGGGTCCTGCAACAGTAGTTACAAAGACATACATAATCATCAACTCCAAAGATGTCTAATATTGCGTGTGCGTGTGCGTGTGCGTGTGCGTGTGCGCATATACATATCTATACACAAATTCTTAATTAAACGAACTTTTTATCTTAATTATTTAGTGTCGGTTGCTCTATCAAAGACTACAATTTCGAATAAAGTTTAAAGTTATCCTATTTATTTTCCCTATTTCATTTAAAACTATTTTCGATCTTCTTTTATATCTCTCGGATTATTATTGATATTCATAGACATAATATGTTTCTGAGAAGCCTGATTTAACTATAACAGGAGTCAGCAAAGAACTCACCATTAGGGTCTGCGAATCAAAAGACACCCATTTGTCCAATTAACCAGCATAAGAAGCCAAATCAGAGGAACATGAAGAAGAAAGCAAAATTATTAGAGGCTTGAACACTAGAATTACAGAATGAACAAAGAACTATATATACACTTGATACTTCAAAAAAGAATAGTAATGTGGAGAAAAATTACCATTCATCCAATTCTGGGGAGGTTGGAAGTGATATGCAGTTCTGTAAGGCTGACGTTTTGATGACTGAGATTGCATAGATTGAGGGTTTCTGTATTCATGCTGGGAAGCTTCAAGCTCAAGAACACCATGACCAAGGAGGAGAGAGAACAAACATATCACCCAAACACAAGATTTAGCCATGATTGCCTTGTGGAAATGATCAGAAGAAGGTAAACCTGTGGTGTCCTATATATATATATGAATGGACTATATATAAGTGATTGGAAATGAAAGAACTCACATAATGTGGTGGAAAAAAAGAGACTAGGGTTTCAAATGCAAAAGGATTAAGGAAGATGATGGGAAGAAATGTAAATCAATGAATGTCAAAAGTCTCAATTGTTTCGTTATGTCTGTCTTTCGTGCAAGTCTTGGTCTCTGAATATATTCATTGCAACGGATGCGTGGTATGACCGTTGCATTATTAAATATTTTCTGAGTCTTTGAAACCCATAGAAGGAACAGACAGATGTCTAGGCTGGGGTACAGATCGAAGTAATGCTAGATGAACTTAAAAATTAAATTTGATAATCTTAACCATTAAATAGGTAGTGGGTCCTAATAAATGCCGGAACCTACAGTGAAATCAATGGTTGAAATTATCAAATCTACTTTTTAAATCCATATAACATTGCTCTCCGGTTCGAAAAAACTGTCTTAGTTCTGTTCTCTGTCACATGTTTTTTTTTTCATATGCAAATTTCTTGACTAATCCTATGTGTGAGAAAATCTGCAAAGTAGTTTGCCGGGAAATTACTCTGCATTTTCCACAAATTCCATGGTAGAATGGATGAGAAAGTCCCAAGAATGAAAATTCAAAAGATTGGGAAGGGAAAACACTGTCCTCCATTTTCTGCTTGGTAAAAAGGATAAAAAGTTGAAAATATGAATTTTTTGTATCTTTTGGTGTAAATATGAAAGTAAAAAAAGAGAAAAATAAAAAAACTTTTTCTTATCGGATTTCAACTAACACATTAACTCTTAAATTATATCTAATTACATATTAACATATTATGACTGATAGGGTCTCGGAAATCACAGCCCAAAGCCCAACATATGTGATGTTATTGTGTCAAGTGTAAGAGTTGGTTTGGTAAATTGGACTATCTGTTAAAAATGAAATATCTATTGAAAATGAAAACACATAAGATAAGTGGTTCGCTTTAGTCAATAGACCAATGTTACGTCCATTGTAATAGAGTCTCTTGCTCATTGAGTTTGTATATTAAAATTTCGATATATACAACTGGAGTTTAGGCGCTAGACCCTTACAGGGGTTGGTATTTTGCTTATAGATTATACACGGTCGATAAACGTTCTCTAGTGACCTCTTCATTTTTTTGTAAGACTGTTCTATATATATGGGTTGCTTTTTTTGTGATTTTTGACAGTTTCTTCTACTTTTTTTTATCGATCATGTGGGGACCTCCTGTCCTTGTCTTGCAAAAGTCTTTCTCAGTCGACACCACTGCGCCCACGATCTCTAGGGCATTATGTTCCACCATCTTCTGGGTGCAGCTATCACAAGTTTCAGAGATGATCCCTCTATTTTCTGGACACGTGGCATGACGGAATGACTCCGAGGCAAAGATTTGATTTCTCTTCCTTGGATTGTCCTTTAGCTAGCACCTGATTGGGCTGGGGTTGGACCACTGCCCCTCGGGTCCCCATTGGGCCTTGCCCTTTCAATTTTTTATCATGGGTTAATTAGAGACGCTTTATTTTAGATAACTGGACTTTGCCTTCAGTTTCTCACGACGTTTTGGGTTTCGAGTTNTATACACAAATTCTTAATTAAACGAACTTTTTATCTTAATTATTTAGTGTCGGTTGCTCTATCAAAGACTACAATTTCGAATAAAGTTTAAAGTTATCCTATTTATTTTCCCTATTTCATTTAAAACTATTTTCGATCTTCTTTTATATCTCTCGGATTATTATTGATATTCATAGACATTATATGTTTCTGAGAAACCTGAATNATTTAGTGTCGGTTGCTCTATCAAAGACTACAATTTCGAATAAAGTTTAAAGTTATCCTATTTATTTTCCCTATTTCATTTAAAACTATTTTCGATCTTCTTTTATATCTCTCGGATTATTATTGATATTCATAGACATAATATGTTTCTGAGAAGCCTGATTTAACTATAACAGGAGTCAGCAAAGAACTCACCATTAGGGTCTGCGAATCAAAAGACACCCATTTGTCCAATTAACCAGCATAAGAAGCCAAATCAGAGGAACATGAAGAAGAAAGCAAAATTATTAGAGGCTTGAACACTAGAATTACAGAATGAACAAAGAACTATATATAGACTTGATACTTCAAAAAAGAATAGTAATGTGGAGAAAAATTACCATTCATCCAATTCTGGGGTGGTTGGAAATNAAAATTATTAGAGGCTTGAACACTAGAATTACAGAATGAACAAAGAACTATATATACACTTGATACTTCAAAAAAGAATAGTAATGTGGAGAAAAATTACCATTCATCCAATTCTGGGGAGGTTGGAAGTGATATGCAGTTCTGTAAGGCTGACGTTTTGATGACTGAGATTGCATAGATTGAGGGTTTCTGTATTCATGCTGGGAAGCTTCAAGCTCAAGAACACCATGACCAAGGAGGAGAGAGAACAAACATATCACCCAAACACAAGATTTAGCCATGATTGCCTTGTGGAAATGATCAGAAGAAGGTAAACCTGTGGTGTCCTATATATATATATGAATGGACTATATATAAGTGATTGGAAATGAAAGAACTCACATAATGTGGTGGAAAAAAAGAGACTAGGGTTTCAAATGCAAAAGGATTAAGGAAGATGATGGGAAGAAATGTAAATCAATGAATGTCAAAAGTCTCAATTGTTTCGTTATGTCTGTCTTTCGTGCAAGTCTTGGTCTCTGAATATATTCATTGCAACGGATGCGTGGTATGACCGTTGCATTATTAAATATTTTCTGAGTCTTTGAAACCCATAGAAGGAACAGACAGATGTCTAGGCTGCGGTACACATCGAAGTAATGCTAGATGAACTTAAAAATTAAATTTGATAATTTTAACCATTAAATAGATAGTGGGTCCCAATAAATGCCGGAACCTACAGTGAAATCAATGGTTGAAATTATCAAGTCTACTACTTTTAAATCCATGTAACATTGCTCTCCGGTTCGAAAAAACTGTCTTAGTTCTCTTCTCTGTCACATGGCTTTTTTTCATATGCAAATTTCTTGACTAATCCTATGTGTGAGAAAATCTGCAAAGTAGTTTGCTGGGAAATTACTCTGCATTTTCCACAAATTCCATGGTAGAATGGATGAGAAAGTCCCAAGAATGAAAATTCAAAAGATTGGGAAGGGAAAACACTGTCCTCCATTTTCTGCTTGGTAAAAAGGATAAAAAGTTGAAAATATGAATTTTTTGTATCTTTTGGTGTAAATATGAAAGTAAAAAAAGAGAAAAATAATAAAACTTTTTCTTATCGGATTTCAACTAACACATTAACTCTTAAATTATATCTAATTACATATTATGACTGATAGGGTCTCGAAAATCACAGTCCAAGCCCAACATATGTGATGTTATTGTGTCAAGTGTAAGAGTTGGTTTGGTAAATTGGACTATCTATTAANCACAAGCATCCTTATTCGTTATCCTAGGCCCTTCGGAAAATGTAACATTCTCATAGATGCTGGCAAGTATGTCTAAGACGCTCTAATCGTTATTGTATATCTTTAAATGAGACGAAGGAAAGAAATCTTCATTGTGACCATGGATTTATCGTGGTAACTCTCGGATGCATGTGGGACTGTGTTGAGGAGGGCTGGACTAGTGCTCTGAGAGGCGTGAATACCTCACTATTATTATCATACCTGACCATGGTCTGATTTGTGCTCCTATTGGTAGTAATTTTGTCTTAAGACTCTTAATGGCTTACATGGCTCATCTCCTGCGTATTTTNGGTTCGCTTTAGTCAATAGACCAATGTTACGTCCATTGTAATAGAGTCTCTTGCTCCTTGAGTTTGTATATTAAAATTCCGATATATACAGCTGGGGTTTAGGCGCTGGACCCTTACAGGGATTGGTGTTTTGCTTATAGATTATACACGGTCGGTAAACGTTCTCTAGTGGCCTCTTCATTTTTTTGTAAGACTATTCTATATATATGGGTTGCCTTTTTTGTGGTTTTTGACAGTTTCTTCTACTTTTTTTATCGATCCTGTGGGGACCTCCTGTCTTTGTTTTGCAAAAGTTTTTCTCAATCGACACCACTGCGCCCACGATCTCTAGGGCATTATGTTCCACCATCTTCTGGGTGCAGCTATCACAAGTTTCAGAGATGATCCCTCTGTTCTCTGGACATGTGGCACGACGGAATGACTCCGAGGTAAAGATTTGATTTCTCTTCCTTGGATTGTCCTTTAGCTAGCACCTGATTGGGCTGGGGTTGGACCACTTCCCCTCGGGTCTCCATTGGGCCTTGCCCTTTCAGTTTTTTATCATGGGTTAATTAGAGACGCTTTATTTTAGACAATTGGATTTTACCTTCAGTTTCTCACGACGTTTTGGGTTTCGAGTTGATGGTGGCCATGCCCAAAATTCTACCTTTATTAATGACTAAACCAAAACTTCATAAAATCCAACAAGAAAAACCTGCATAGGAAATATATTTGGCTTAGTTAAAAAAAAAAAGAAGACTGCATAATAAAATTATTCATATACATTTTCTTTTTGTGGCTAAATCTGAATTCTCAACAATTAAAAAATATAATTTCCATACTTTGATTGAATAGAACCATCTACTAGGCCTTTTTGATGTATTATGTGGTGTGACTTTTTTAATAACTTTATTTTTAGTTTATAATTGTTTTTATTAAATATGTGTGTTAACAAAAAGAAAACAATAAAAACACCATCCACCAACTGCAGAGGATTCGAATCCACAACTGTGGGGTCTCAATATTTTATTATACAACAAATATGTTATTTCTTCAAAATAATATTATTTTTTTAGTTGGTTGAAAAAAAGAGTAAAGACAAAGAAAAATATCCACAGATCGCCTCAACAGATCCGAATAGAATCATAAGACGCCTAACTCCGACCATTACTCGTCTTAAAGACGAGCCTGGTTAGGCGCTCTCATTCGTTCTTCTTCAAAATGACTTGTTTTACATCAAAACGTTATTTAATAAAATGATGCCATTTTAATGTGAAACGGCATCATTTTGAATAACATCACCCTGCTGTTCCTCA